GTAAGAGCGACCTTTATGATGAGTCAGTTCTGAGCTACAACAGTTTAATCTACAAAGATTTCTTAAAGCTATGTATATCCGTTGCACTTTTGCCACAAAACAAGTGGCTTGCTGCTGTGCTTCAGCACGTTTCCTGCCGCACGTATTACACCTGTAAGAATCCGAATAAACTTCCTCTGCTCTGCTTTTGTGTCTCTCGCTTCCACCAAACCTTTCCCACATTAACTGTCTTGCTCTCCACCAGTCAGCTATCAAGTCTGAACAGGATGTTAGTCTTCTGACACCACAAACACTTCCTTTGGCCTATAGCAGTGTAGTTGTGTACAGGAAGACGGCTCTTGTTGGCCAGCTGGACTGTGGAGACCTGCTACTGGAGATTAATTCACGTTTTTGTCTACGTGCCCTTCATATGAGCGTCTTATTTTTCTTTCATTATGATGAATTAGTTTTTTCTTTAGAAGAAGAGACAAAAGATTCATTATTTAGACAGGACGATCTGGCGTCCCTTCCAGTGTGCAGTTGAAGGACAGGGCGGGTGGGGGTAATAGTGAAGTGGGGCAGGCCGGAGACGGCGCTGCTGAGTCTGACAAACCAGACCATCAGGTTTCACATGCTGTCAAATCCCTAGATGAAAGGCGGCAAAGGTCTCCACAGTAACATTGAGGTCCAGACTGCATTGAGGACCTTGCAGACGGCCCAGTGAACTCACAAACATGAGTTGTCAGCAGCGAAACTACCCACTCAAACCTGTTCTGAGAGTGAAATTTCAGTGGGTGGATCTAGAGCTGTTTTGAAACACATCCATCAGTTTCTGAGAAGGCGACTCGCAGATTTTGATGGGTAATTTAAGTTTTGGTCTGACACTCTGTTGGTTGTTTACAGTGTGAAAAAAGTGTTTACTGAAAATAGCTCGAATGGGACAACTTGTGTCTGGTAGTTGATGCATGGTGTAATTTTGGACCGGTGTACCAGTAGAGAGTATCAAGTGAAACGCAACCTGGACAAGGAGGCCATTGTTCTTCACTGCTGCTCAAGGAAATGGCCTTGCTGGATATTATTGGCATTTGGCAGCAGGATTGTGCCACTGTCTATGCAGCTGTACCTTATTGTGTTCTTCTAGATGACTGAGACACGCTTCCTGGTATGTTTACATAAGTCGGCATCTGTGATTCTGTATGTGAGGGGTGTTGAACTGTGTGCAGCAAACAGTGATGTTGAAGTGAGGTGGGTGCGTCACACAGATGTCTCAGATTCCTGCCTTTGTCTCCAGATACCATTCCACATGGTTGCATAGTCTCTACAGTGACTCTGGCCTGACGGGGTATTTGCGTCTTTCAGTGTTGAGGCTTTGGCAGCTTTGCTCTGGCTGTGCTGATGGTGTGTCTTGGGCAGTGGTCCTAATTCAGTCAAGAACATCTACGCATAAAATTACAATGATAGTGTCTTTCATTCTCGCTGGAACGTGCTGATGACGTATCATGTCTGCGCAAACAAGGTGCGCAGAGGTATGCAAATACATATTTTGACAGGCAGGCAGGACAGCCTGTCGTAATGTTCGGACCGAACATTTTGATTGGATGAACATTTTATGGTCCTACGCCTTCCACAGACAATATAAATACATATAGATAAATTTAGACCACTTCACTTAGTGATTGCTATCGGGATGTGAAGAGACTTTCAACCAGCATAACAAAAAAAAGAAAAAAGTGTTTACTGAAAATAGCTCGAATGGGACAACTTGTGTCTGGTAGTTGATGCATGGTGTAATTTTGGACCGGTGTACCAGTAGAGAGTATCAAGTGAAACGCAACCTGGACAAGGAGGCCATTGTTCTTCACTGCTGCTCAAGGAAATGGCCTTGCTGGATATTATTGGCATTTGGCAGCAGGATTGTGCCACTGTCTATGCAGCTGTACCTTATTGTGTTCTTCTAGATGACTGAGACACGCTTCCTGGTATGTTTACATAAGTCGGCATCTGTGATTCTGTATGTGAGGGGTGTTGAACTGTGTGCAGCAAACAGTGATGTTGAAGTGAGGTGGGTGCGTCACACAGATGTCTCAGATTCCTGCCTTTGTCTCCAGATACCATTCCACATGGTTGCATAGTCTCTACAGTGACTCTGGCCTGACGGGGTATTTGCGTCTTTCAGTGTTGAGGCTTTGGCAGCTTTGCTCTGGCTGTGCTGATGGTGTGTCTTGGGCAGTGGTCCTAATTCAGTCAAGAACATCTACGCATAAAATTACAATGATAGTGTCTTTCATTCTCGCTGGAACGTGCTGATGACGTATCATGTCTGCGCAAACAAGGTGCGCAGAGGTATGCAAATACATATTTTGACAGGCAGGCAGGACAGCCTGTCGTAATGTTCGGACCGAACATTTTGATTGGATGAACATTTTATGGTCCTACGCCTTCCACAGACAATATAAATACATATAGATAAATTTAGACCACTTCACTTAGTGATTGCTATCGGGATGTGAAGAGACTTTCAACCAGCATAACAAAAAAAAATTTTTGAACCAAATCTGCTACCCTGCCTTTTAAGTCACAATGTCATGGAATGTCATCTTTTCTTCTGTAATGTGACACATCAGAGTAAAATGAATTGTCAAAAAATATAGGTTGGGGACTTTATTCTATCATTGGTTGTTGTTGATTGGATGGAGGCAGATCTGATTGAGAGCTTGCAGTATTTGTATTGCATATGTCACTAAAGAGAAATCTTGTTTCAACAGAACTTCATGTTAAGATATTTACTTAAATTATGTTGTAATTAAGAATTAAAACATAAAAGAATTGTTCACTGTAAGATCATTAAGATGCATATAGAAAACAGGGTGAATTACCATTTCAAGCCTACTTTAAGTTTTTTTTTTTTTTAACAATAGTTCTTGGACAAATATGATCTATTCTGAACTGTTCTGATAAATGGGTGAACACATGGATATTATGTTGGATATTACATTTTCCACAACTGTGGCTACAAAGTAGTAGTAGTTCCAGTTTTTATTGCATTACAGTTGCATGTCACATCTCAACATTATTTCAGATGAGCAGAACTTCAAATATGTGCATAGTGTACCATATCAAAACAACAACAACAACAACAACAAAAAAAAGAGGCATTGGGCAAGCAAATTGTATGACAAACTATTTTAACTTTGAACTTATGCAATTTATTCAGCTAGCAGAAAGCTGAATGGGGCAACTCTCCAGCCTAAAATCTAAAATACTGTAATTATATCTAATATTGTGACTATATGTCTGGAGCCAGGGCAGACACGCAGGTAATCACGCTTGCTTGCTCACACTGTCTGTGTCTCACACACAACTTTGTTACTCAAATGCGTCCATTAAATTTCACGTGTTCAGCAGTCCATCATCTGTTATTCCTTACTAAACACTCTAGAACGTCGGTCTCATCATTTCCCCTTTTAAAAGGGGATTTTAGATTGGGGGAAAATGTATAGCTTTTGTGGTGTGGTGGAAATTACACACTAATTGTACGTATTGAAGATGGTAATTCTTGTAAAATGAGATAGACATTCATATAACAAGGTGATAGTTCTAATGTGACGTAGTTTTACACATCCCGTGAGGTTTCATTACTTTGTGAGTCACTGAATAGTAATAGTAAGCATCCAGTCCTGCATACAGTTACGTGTAGGCTAGGTGTAGAAGACTGTATGTCACATGAACTCTCACTTCATCTTAATTCATGGGGCAAGAACAGATTGTAGCTGAAGGACAGTTCTGGCATGTAGCATTTACTCAGAAGGGAAATTCCAGAATTCTACTTGAGCTATTTTTGGTTTCCAACATGTGTCTGATCAATGCAGGACTACTGCTTGTGCTTTAGATAAAGCCTAACCCACACTACAAGAAGGAAGCTTATTAGCCTTTCATGTTGTTGAAGTCTGCAGCACAAGGCTCCAGATTCTAGATTCCAGATCCAGAATCACAGACGCTCATCTAGTGTGCACACTCAAGTAGTCGCGGATGCTGCAATGCATTTCAAACTTGCTTCCGTTCAAACGGTCTCTAAACAAACTACAGCAGTGAGCAAGAGTGAGCTTTTGTCTGTGATTGTGTAAAATATGCACCATAACATGACAGAAAACAAGAAACTGAGTCTTTAAGGCCGTGTTTCCACCTGGTATTAAGATGTGTTTTTGTGCTCCAATTACAAGTGTTCAGCGCTAAATACAGATGGAAACAGGGTGTTAAACGCTTTGTCATTTGATGATCACTGAAACCACATATGGAGGTAGTCAAAAACATACGTGTAGTGTAAACACTGAATGCGTCCCAGGCCATAGTAAAACATTGCATACTTGCCAACCACTCACCAAACACATGATTGTTCTGGGACATGTTGTGAGAAAGTGCACCAAAACAAGTGATTTAAACTTCACCAAAACATATGGTTTATGCTAAAAATTGCAGATCCCCCTTATCCTTTTCATTCTCTTCCTTTCCTGCTGACTTGTACAGTAAGCTGTGTAAAAAAAAAACTTTGCTCATATATGTGTGCGGCACTCCTGTGAAAATGATGTAGAGGGTGACAAAATAAGAGGGGAGTGTCTTGATGAAATCTGAGCACAAGTGGTCAGTGGAGACACATTTGAAAAACATGTTAATACCAGGTGGAAATTGTAATGCAACTAGACTGACCACTTGCAATCAGATCACTGAAAACACATCTCAATACCAGATGGAAACAGGACCTAATGTTCACAGGCTGACCAGGTTTGATTGCCAAAATAATGACAAGTTTTAAACGAACTCTCCCCTGTCTTCCATTGTTTGGACACACAGATGGTCCTGCCCAAACCGGTTAATGTTGTTATGCCTGGCCCACTCAAAAAGATTGTTTGGTGCTGTTAGAGGCACAGAAATTACAGCCTTTTTAAGTTTATATTTGATTTGTTGATGGTCCCTTTTTTACCTTTGGCCTGCTAGTAATCGTTCTGTTCTGTGTTTGTTTCCAGGTGACACTGAGGAGCTTCCTGGGCCACTGAGACGTGACTTCGGGCTGGGCGTCTCATTTCCTGTGCCCCTGCTGGCCCAGACAAGCTGCCCTCTGAATGACTACTGGCCGTCTGGTTGCAGGGCTTTGCCAAGCTGCCACCATGAGCAAATACTCCCAGTACTTCAACAAGACCCTCATAGAGGTCCACTATCGCATTGCCAAGAACATGAGCCAGAAGGAAATCAAAGGCCGCATGGAGAGTAAACAAAGCCTGAGCGCCCTGAACATTTTATTTGTCATAATCTGCAGTATCATCATCTTGGAAAACCTCCTGGTACTCATTGCCGTGTTCCGCAATAAGAAGTTCCACTCTGCCATGTTCTTCTTCATCGGGAACCTGGCCTTCTCGGACCTACTGGCTGGCTCCGCCTATATTGCCAACATCTTCCTGTCAGGCCCTAAAACATTTCATTTGGTGCCTGTCCAGTGGTTCATACGAGAAGGGACTGCTTTCATCGCACTGGCTGCCTCAGTTTTCAGCCTGCTGGCTATCGCCATAGAGCGCTACATAGCCATCACCAAGGTCAAAGTTTACGGCTCCAACAAAACTTGCCGCATGTTCCTTTTGATCGGAGCGTGCTGGGTGATGTCCATCCTTCTGGGAGGGCTTCCCATTATTGGTTGGAACTGTATTAATAACCTGGGGGATTGCTCCGCTGTCCTGCCTCTCAACTCCCGATACTACATCCTGTTTGTCGTCACCATCTTTACCATCATCTTGCTGTCCATTGTGATCCTTTACGTTCGCATCTACCTTATTGTGCGTACCAGCCACCAAGAGGCCACCAATTCTCCAGCTTACGCTCTCCTGAAGACTGTCACGATCGTACTTGGTGTTTTCATCATTTGTTGGTTGCCCGCCTTCACCATCCTTCTCTTGGACACTTCTTGTTCGATGAAAAAATGTCCTATCCTCAACAACGCTGACATCTTCTTCAGCATCACCACACTGAATTCGGCACTGAACCCGCTGATCTACACGTTGCGGAGTAAGGACATGAGGAAGGAGTTCCTCAGGGTGCTTTGCTGTTGGGGGCTGCTCAATTGTGGCAGGCCTCCTCACCGCTGCATGGTGCCACTCAAGAGCTCGAGTTCAATGGAGCACTGCACCAACAAACACGAACATCAGTCAATTCCCATCATGCAGGACTGCACTACTTGTGTCTGATTTCGTCTCCTCAGTGCCCAGGTGTTTGAAGACAAGGGGAGACCCCAGGCAAGGCACAGAAGACAGAAGTGTTCAGAGACCTCACTGATGAACGAGAATCACAATCAATGTCTTCGGACTCTTGGACATTTAGGGCAGATATCACAGCTGTGCTACCGGACTCACACGTGTCCTTTTGTTGCTTATGTCCTTGCAAAAGTTCCTGAACATCACAGAATGAGACTTCACCACGTATTTGACATTTTAAGGCAAAATTAAAGAAAGCCAAATTCAAATGGGAATATCCATTTAAGCTCTTTGACAAAACATGAACAATTTAAAGTTGCACTTTGTAGACTTCTAGGCAGCTTGGGATTGTATATTTCTCATATGCTGACCAACCTACCAGAAGTCGCATACAAGATGTATCCTATCCACAAGTAGACTACCACTGTCTTGGTTCAGAGACTTGAGAGGACAGATTGAAATGTACAGATCGACAATGCACTCCATGTGAGCCAAACAACCATGCATGCTTGCAGAACCTCTCCTAATGTATTCATCAAATTACTTGATATACATAACATCCTTTGATTACCAACAATAAAAGTATTCTTCATACTTCATTGTATTGCATGAAAGTCTAACCTGTGTAAAAACTAATATGTATGGCCAACCTATGTACAATTGTCAATGTTACTCCTCTTTGTCCATATTGTCCATCTAAACTCACTGTCCCTTAATATTTTATTTTTCTTTAACATTCCTAATTTTTTCCTAAGAGGAAAGCACAATCAGAATGTGATAACTGAATTCCTGATACGAGTTTCTCTCAGCAGCTGATGTAAACGCTGGTTGTGTTGGCATGACAATGCCGTAGCTTCGCCGCGGCAGCGTATGCTTCGTTTTGTGCCCTCTTGACGAATTGAACTGAATATAAGAATGAAGTGTTACGAGCGAACATTTTCGCTGATCGACAGTATTACCGAACATCATTGTTCTCCTGTTGATTATTGAGCTTGCAGCAACAAGAACGGACACTCACTGTGAAGTCTTAATGACGTTTAAAGTCAATTGAAATTGATACGCCATTGATAAGACAGGAAACTTTGAGATTAGGACAAATTGAGCATGCCTTTCTCTCTTTTGAAGGCATATTCATTCTGAGATATGGGGGTTGTTATGCTGTCTTTTAATAGGCCACAAGTCTTTAGAAGAAACTTTAAACTTCCTGCAAAGTTCAGTGTTTCCTATGCTTCTTCCCGTTGTTAGGGACTGACCTTAATGTTCCTATACGTTTATATCATCAGTCCAACACTTTCACTCACACAATCACAGCCATTGACTGTTTGACCCCAGCATGTTTTAGTTTCCTCTGCTGATCGGTTTAGTTCAGCAGAGAAAGCACTTTGGCAGCTCTTCCAGTACCGACCTAATGTATTTTGGTTTTTCTTTCTTTCTTTCTTTTTTTAATGCATGAAGAGTTTAAGCCTGTGTGAGCATCCCTATCACTCCGTTCAATGTAAAACATTGCCTACCCTGTGGAACAATGTTTATTTTATATGATAAATATATGAAAGTTTGTATGTATCCGTGTACAGTATGTATGTAATGTGTATACGTATAGAATGTCTTGTGTGCAATAGCCTTGTGTTTTAGTAGCAAGCTACCTGTGCTAAATCGGTACAATCCCAAACACTAATGTAGGTACATACACATTAGTTCATTCCTTTTTCAAATAAAAATAAATTAAATACAAAAAAAAAGTGTTGCTTTGTTGTTATTCTCTGTTTTATATTTTCTAAAGTTGTAGTTGAAAATATCTAGATTGACAGTTTCACGTATGCTTTTAGCATACACTTAAAAGTGGTTGTTGTGTGTGTGACAGAAGTGATTAATGCCACTACGTAATTTGCTTCAAGTTTCAGTCCTACGCAGTATTGGGTTAACAATCTGAACACAAGAGCTTTATCCCACATAGTACAGAAATCTGACTAGATAATAAAAAGGTGAAACTAAATGCTAACATGCATGAACATGGTTAAGGCCCGACTCGCTATGACATGAATCTATTCACAAACAATATTGCCTAGAACTGCTAGCCTTGATTTCTGACAGTCCAATAAGTGCCAATTCCAAGGTTTTGTGGGAGTGCAGATGTTTAGCCAAAGGGTTTAGCAGGAAAGAGGGAGTGCAATGATAGATCAATAGAAATGGCATTATGGGAAAGGGTTGTCTGGGAGGCCGAGGGTGCTCTTGGCACAAAAAAAAAAAAGGATTGTGAACTCTGACTGAGTGGGCTTAAGGATGGTCTGGCCTGGTTGTTGTCAAACATCCAGAATTCCTAGGTGGGAACAGCAACCCGCCCTGGGAGGCAACACAGCTGGGAATATGGCCAAGAGTCAGCAGGAAGTGACATCAGCCATACTGAAACAACTGCAAACATATACAGTTGTTTTCAGTACAGTCTTTATGATTAATGGCCATCCTGTACTCCCACTCCCTCCGGCATATGTGAGAACACGTTTGTTCTGAGAAGACGCGCACCCATAGCAGAAACTACAATTGATGTACAAGAGTGTCACCTTGTGGTCGGACAAAGAAAAGATTCTAACGGTATTTGTTAAAAAAAAAAAAGTACTGGCTTGTTGCGCCATCTGTAGGATAAACTAAGATTATGATCATAGGATCAGAATGATGAAAAAGAAAGAAAAAGAAAAAGCATGCAATTGAAGCATATCTAAATTTCTAAATTATATTTTTGATTTAACTTTGTTTTGTTTAAATGCAAATGCAATATAAAGTTAATTTGATTTTGGAAAATGTGGGGGGAAATGGAAAATGTGTTATTTAAATTTTAGTTTAATTATTTAAACGTGTTAATATTGATTTTTGGTTATCTTTACTTCAAAGGTCTGTATACTGCATTTATGTATGTATGCATTTATTTATTTGTTTAAATGTCATTCGTATGCTTTATTAAATATGTAAATTATTTATTATTTATTTAAATAATATAACACGGTAATTCAAATAAATTCTAAATCTAAATACTAAACATATAAACTTAATTTAAACAGATTGGAACTGGTCGGCTCGGTGTCAGATTTCTATTCGTCACCGGCAGTGTTAAATATTTACATTGGAAGAGTTAATGAAAATGAGGAGTGAATTTGCACCCCTGAGGGAAGGCAAAATGTGGTACATCCCATATTGGTTGAGACTCTGAAGCCGTAGAAGGGGTACACACGAAAATAATCCTTGAAAACAATTTAAGATTTCGTATTCTTTCACTATTAAAGTTTATATTTCATAATATTGCTAAGTTTTCCATATACTCAAAACAATGTATCTGAACAGTTTTAAACCCAAATAGAAACGCACAACTCATTTGACACATTTGACCCCCGTACTTTAAATTAGTGGTAGCGTCCAACTCACCCGCATTTCCGCGCGAAAAAGCGGCCCGCGCGTATTTCTCAGCTGCTAGCGACAATTCATAAAGCCCGCTGCTGTTGTCACTGTCAGATCTTAACCACCGCTTTTATCTGTTGTTTTAAATCGTGTTTTTAATTAGTCATTTTCTTTGATCAAACTCGAACTTGAAATGCCTACCAGGACCTCATTGTCTTTGCCAGAGGATGTCAAGGAACGGTACGGTGCTGTATTTGCCCTAATGGAACTGTAACTATAGACTGACTTTCATAGTTTGCTCTTTCGCGGGCTTTGCTCGTTGCTGGTTACACGTTGATCTCGTCACATAACAACCGCTGTATTATGTGCTGTTTGGAGATGAAAAACATGTAAAGTTTTTACTCTAGTTAGCATTTAGCCGTGCTACAAATGCTGTACCCGCCATCAGCTCGCGTGTAGTGGGTAAAACTGGCGGCGGCTGGTTGTTTTGATGCAAACAGAGTCACAGGTGTCAGTCTGACTGCATTTGGCGCCAAATACACATGTGTCAGAGTGAAGCCCTGCCCGCCTCCTATCTCCCTCTACTCAATCACTGCACAGGTCATTGGACTCATACCTACTGAATCCTGCTGCGTTTTGTGTAACTTACTCAAAATCGTCTGGTGACGTTAACAATAAATACCGACCGTCTCTGCGTGTGTGCTTGTTTACTTGCGTAATCCCATGATAGCGTCACTCTCTGATGAGACTGTCAGCTGAAGATAAAACTTTTAAGTATTAAGATTAAATGTTAAAGATTGTAATCTAATTTTAAATGTTTATTGCACGTCGAGTCATTTTGATCTTTTTTTATTTTTTTATTTCAAATTGTGTGGAGATGTGCTGTGCATTAATGAGATGTTTACCTCCATGTTCCCAGGCTTCAGGTGCTGGATGAAGGTGGAGACAGTTTGTCAGATGAGGTGAGGGTTTTTCATAGCAGTCTTATGAGTTATATTCAGATCAAACGGTCAGGTTATTCGTGTTCTCTCAGGTTGATGTCTACATGCCCTTCATGTAGTGTAAGTAGTTTAAAGGGGTTATATGATGCGATTTTAAAATTTTCCATTCTCTTTGGAGTGTTACAAGCTCTTGGTGCATAAAGAAGATCTGTAAAGTTGCAAAGACTAAAGTCTCAAATCCAAAGAGATATTCTTTATAAAAGTTAAGTCAACCACGCCTACCTAAAACGGCTCGTTCTAACACGCCCCCACATACCTACATCACTATGTGGGAAGATTTGCATGACACCTCCCAAATGTTCATGCAAAGAAAGGCATAACTTTTATTCTCGCTGTAGTTTTGTTGTCGCCGCCATGTCGTGAAGGCGCTGTGTGCTTCGTTGTGAAAGCGAAATTACTTTGTTTGGCCTTCCAAAAGAGGACGATATCCGCTTCGTCATGCCTGGAGCTGATCCATGCTGGTCACTGAGGGAATACTTCAACTTTGCGCTGTGAATCGCCGGATCGGCTTTCACTGTGGACGAAACTGAGTCCAGCCCGGGGTCGTCACATGTGGTTGCCGCAAGCCCTCCGGACGCTCAGTTTTTTATATTTAAAGAATTTGCCAATGATGATTCAAACATGAGTTTTGAGCAGTGTAGAGTAGTGCTTGTAGTTTGTCATTTCTTCGATCACAAATGCAGACATGGTTTTATGTTTACGCGGCGCGATGCAATGTGTAAAAAGACAGTATAAGTCATTATAATCCATAATTATGTTCCCACTGGATGCAACAAAAGCACCTCGTTTGTAATGCGTTTTAATGTTTTTGTCTCGTCGCTCCGGCCGGACACGGCATCAACACAGTATGGTGAGGGGCGTAACATTTCCGTCTCACGCTTGAGGTATTCGGCCAATCACAACGCACTGGATAGCTGGCCAATCACAGCACACCTCGCTTTTCAGAACGATGAGCTTTGTAAAAATCGACGCGTTTCAAAAAGGCGGGGCATAGAGGAGAAACAATAATGTACAGTTTGTGGAAAATAATGTGTTTTTTTTTACCTTAAACCGCATAAACACATTACA